AATATATGCAGTGTATTATTTGTTGAAACTGTACTTCCGATTTGATTTGAAACTGTCTCATTGCTATATGTTTATCAATAAAACTGTAGAAAAAAAAAAACTTTCCTGTGATTAACAAGTGTTAGCCCCATTGGCTTGAGCAGGCATCTGCAGGAGAAGTCAGCCCGCCTAGGCCCACAGGGGCTCAGGTGCCTAGAGACTCCATTTTGGCATAACATCCACAATTGATGACCCAGGAAAAGAGGACCTGGGAAGCATACACTGCATTTAGTTTCTGACTGCCCACTGTGTGTGTGCATGGGTGCAAATGTGCACATATATAACTTACCATTTTGGCCAGCTTTCTAAAATGAGAATGTTAGATTAAATAATGTCTCTGTGGCTCTCATGTTTGAAGATCTGGTAATCGTTAAATGCTTTTCCAGTCCAAAAACAGAATGATTCCAAATCCTTCCACTGTGTATGTACTTTAGGCCATAATGTATCCCTTCATTTTTCTGTAGAATGACTAGGCCAGTCTGTGTTGGGACAGAATACCAGAGGCTGGGTGCTTTATAAGAACACAGACTTAGAGTAACAGCTCTGTGGGCTGGAAGTGCAAGTGCACTGTGCCAGCACACAGTCACAGACTTCCTGCTGCAACGTTTCAGAGGGACATGTGAGCGTGACGCATAAAGGGTGGGGGCAGACCTTTCCTTTCCATGGTAATGGCGTTCATTCCCAGCCTAACCTCATAAGACGGTTACAACAGTAATGAAACTTCCTTATGAACTTTGGAGGGAAATTCAAATAATGGCAGTGACCATTACAGTTAAATCTTGTTTATTTATTTATTTATTTTTTGTATAGTGGATAAGGAAGAAGAAAACATAAACAATGCAAAACAAATCATTAAAGCAGAGTTGCCCATAGGTGTTCATTCACCAGCCTCCAAAATGTATTCATCAATTTCCTTTCAAAAAATACTGACACACGATTCATATTATAACATATAACTCACCTATTCCAAAGCACAGGGTCATTTTTATGCAGAGTTGTACAACTGACACTATCATCAATTTTAGAACGAAACTGGCCACATCTGCTAGCAGTCAGTCCTCTCCCCTCTCAACTCCAGGCCTGGCCAACCACAGATTTGCTGTCTCTGTGGATTTCCCTATCCCAGCTATGTCATGCACATGAATCGTAAGTCACATGGTCTTTGTGAATGAATCCTTTCTCTTAATAGTTTCCAGGCTTATCCATGTTGTTCCATGTATCAGTATTCCATTCTTTTTTATTGAGGAATGACAGTCTTTTGTACGGTCATTTTGTTTATCCATCTACTGTGTGATGGACATTTTAGTTGTTTCCACTTTTTAGTTAGGAAATAATACTTCTTGGAGTGATGAGGTCAGGTTAACTCTACGTTTAACTTTTTGAGGACTGTTTCTCAGAGTTTCTGCACCATTTCCCATATAAGCAGAGTTTAAAGGCGTCACTTCCAGCGGATGTTACCATGTGTTAATTATAAAAATCATCAAAATCATCAGAGGCTGCATCCTGGCTTCTAGGACGTAAAGCAGCTTCAATTTCTGAGTTACTGTCATCAGACTCCCCCCAGAAGGCTGCAAGAGAAAAGCAAACAGCTGTGTAACTTTTCCTGAACTCTGACTTCCAGTTTACAGAACAGTACAGCAGGTCTGATAACTGGAGCCATAGCCTCCAGGAGATCACATAGGGCAGAGGCACACGAGGCACCCCACAGGATGGACACACCCGGATGCAAGCCCGCATGCCCCGCTGTCTTTTGTGTCAAGAGATGCTTCTCTTCTTTGTCTGTGCCAAGCCCTGCTATAGGACAGCGACAAACACCTCTGGCTGCTGATCCACTTTGACTTCCTTCTGTTCTCTACCAGAGCAGAGGACAAGGGAAGTACTATGCGAGTGCTGGTCATCAGGTGGGTGTGGAGGTCAGGGAGCCCTGCACATCCACAGCTGGACATAACACTGCTCTGCACTGCAGCCCATGGCACCTGTATGGCCCTGTCACTGAGGAGATCCCACCTCAGCTCCCACCCTATAGCCAGCAGGGGTCCACCTGGAACCAAAGAAACACTGGCAAAAAGAAATTTTTTATTCAAATGCAAAAAGATTGGTGTCCAGATATATCTCTTACCACTTGACTTCAAATGGGTCATGAATTTCTTTTTGTCTTCATGTCTGTAAAAGAAACAGTTTGAAAAAACGACAATCAGACAAAAAGTTTTACAAGAACACATGAGGAGAGTAGTACAGTTATTCACTGCAAGGCCAAAAACTTTCTCTTTAGTCTCAGATTTTAAAAGCACAAAGACAGGGGCTAGTGAGATGGCTCAGTGGTCTAAAGCACCTACTTAGAACAAGCTAAGCTAAGCAAAGCACAGGGACCGCGGTTCAATCCCCCAGCACCACATGCCAGCCAGCCCCGCCCCCTGGTAGGCTGAGCTGGCCACACACACACACACACACACACACACACACACTAAATAAATAAATAAACAAATAAATAAAATTAAAAAAAATAAAAGCACAAAGACAAAGTCAAGACTCGTAGTGGCCACCTGGAACAGGGAATTCAAGACACTGGCACAGGGCAGGCATGTTTCTGTGTCACTGATTTTTTTTTTTCAAAATTTTATTGATAAACAGATAGCAATGAGACAGTTTCAAATCAAATCGGAAGTAGTTTCAACAAATAATACACGGCATATATTCTTCTTAGTGGTTAATTGCTGTACAAGATGCGGGGTTGAGATCCTATTTACAAACACCATTAGAACAAACCATTCTATTCATTAAGAGAATGCAACTATATATCTATCCTGTGTCACTGATTTTGGTGAGGAAGTTTAATCATCCTCCTCATCTTAGAGGAGGCTGTGACAGCAGTGCCAGCATTTTAACAACAGAGGTCACATGTGTAAAGAAATGCAGTGATGAATGCCTGTGCTTGCCTGGCTTCATCCTGTGTGCACTGCACAGGATGCTGGCACTTGTGGCTTGTCTGCCAAGCCTGGCTCTGCAATGGGCTTCTCAGTGCCTGCCTTGTAAGAGCTTTGCAATTATAAGAACTTACAAGCCCCTTCTGGGAGCAGCATTTACTTTTTTTTTTTTTTTTTTTTTTTTTTAGTGTACTTCACAATTCTTCAAGGCCCATGTGGAGGAGGGACGAGGTCAAAGGAGATGTTAGGGAATGTCCACATCTGCCAGGGGCCACCATGGCTCCTTGAGATGCAGAAACCCCGGCCAAGGAGGCTGGCCTATGCTTCGAGATCACCTTTTATCAAAGCTGTCACTGTTTACATTTTTCCTCTTGACCAAGCTCCCCCATGGAATCATTTTCCAGGTCAGTATCCTGAAGGTTATCAGGTGATATAACCAAAGAGACCTGTGGTCACCCTCTGTGAAGAGCAGAAGCCCCTGTGACACCTGGCAGGATCCAGCAGCCAGCCACAGAAAAGGTGCTGTGAAGGTAAACACACCCAGAGTAAGGCCAAAGGAGTCATCTTAAACTAAATATGTGTGTGTGTGTGTGTGTGTGTGTGTGTGTGTGTGTGTGTGTGTATGCAGAGACATACACAGAGACACATGCAGGAGGAAGGTAACAGGGATGTTACTTATCTGCTTCCCATCACCAGAAGATACTGAGTTGGGGTGGAGAGGAAAGTGGATTCTAAAGCCACTGTGGGCACAGAAAGGGGTCAATCTGCCAGCTGTGGTCAGGGAAAAAGGGACAGGAGGACAAGTGGGCAGCTAGCTGGCAAATGGAGAGCTTGATGGTGGGTGCCGGGTTGAGGTTGCAGGATCCCTGCCTGGGGGAAGAGGGGTGAGATGCCTTTTACCTCAGATTTTAGAGACAGAAAGGATGGCGCAAGCCAGGACTGGGGGCAGGATATGGAACAGCAGCCTTGACACAGGAGTGAGGGTAGAGATAGGCAGGCCCCAAACACATGGCCAGAGTCCTTCCGACAGCCCCCTGGGCTCCTCTGTGTACCTGTGGTGGCTACTCCCAGCCACAGATAGACTCGCCACCCTGGCTGTGGGCGCCCTTCCCACCAGGCCAGGTCACTCCTGGTACCACAGGGATAGGGCTACAGAGCCTGCAGTCCCCATGCCTCTCTTACTCTCCTGCTACCACCTATACAGCTTGGGTCCCACCAAACAGAGCTCCCTATGCTTCCTGAAGGCCTCGCTGTATCCCCACGACCAAGCAGATCTCCTGGCTGCATCTCTGATAACCAGTGACACTGTACCTGTCCTGCCTCTCTTGTCACCTGCTTCCCACTCCAGCAAGAGTGAGGTTTATGAAGCATGGGTTTGATCACTTCCTTGCATAAGGCTCTCAGTGCCTTCCCACTGCATGGGCACAAAGACTGAAACAATGCATGGGGCTTCCAGACTGAGCTGGAACACAGGAGGCTCCTCGTCCCAGGCCATGTCCATTCAAGCTGCTGCTGCTTGCCTGCCTGTGCCTCTTCCCAGTGAGCTGCTTCTCCCTTCTGCGGCGCAGGCCAGGTTGGCTCCCACCCAGAGTGGTGCCTAGTGCCCTGGAGGTAAAGGACATTGCTCAGCAGGGCACTGCATTACTTAGGCCATGGTTAATGCTCTCAGACAGAAGGCATGGTGTGCATGTCTTCAGGAGCATGTGACTTTGGAATCAGGTGGTTCAAGGTTTTTGGCTTCCCTGCTGGCAAAAAAGAAGAAGAATGAAGAAAGGAAAAGGAGGAGGAGGAGCAGGAGGAAGAGGAGAAGCAAAAGGAGAATAAGAAGAAAATGGATCTCTCCCCCAACCCCAAGAAAAAGCTGAGGCACTGCTGTGGGAATTGCCCCTGCCAGGGAGTGTCACAATTATTCAGCTCTGCAGGAGCAAGTGGGGCCAGATCAGGTTCCACACAGGGGAGGGGCCAAGTGGTAAAGCACTGGTGGCTGTGCACAGGGTGGCAGGCAGGCCATGTCCCTATAAGGCACCCAAACCTGCTTTTGCTGGTCGTCCTGCAGTTACACAGTGGCTTCAAGACTAGGTAAGCCACGGAGAGCTAGCTGGCAACCCCATGAAATGTGAATTCACTGTTCAGTGGCTCGTGCTTTACCAGTTTCCTCCCAAGAAATACTGCAGAACTGCAGGCATTAGCTCACTGTTGAAGGAGGTGGGCACTGCATGCCCTTCCAGGCTTTTTCAGGAGCATGTGACCTTACACTTCCCCCTGACCATCAAGCCATCCTATCTGTTGATCCATTTTGATAATTGCTTGTGAGTTCTCCTGTGACTGATTTGCCACGTTAGGCCAATTTTATTCATAGCCACTTTAACTATGCTCACTTCTGGGATACTGACACAGCTAAGATTGGTCAGGACAATGCACCGGAGTCAGGGGGCACCATATAGAACTGTAGAAAGTGGGTGCTGTTGTTCCCATCATCTGAGCAAAGAGCTGAAATAACTGAAAGCAGGCCACATGGCCAACAGAGACACCAAACTAGGTGGCAAGGATCACTGGGAGTACGTAAGTTTGATTTGTAGAACAAAACAAATGAGACCAGAAAAACAAATGAGACCAGAATACCTAACATTAAATCTAAGGTTAAAAATCCCTATTACTTCATATTGGAGCATTGATGCATGTCAACCCGAGCTGTCAGGGGACAGAGCCCCATGGGCTGAGGGATGAGGTCCAGACACAGCTGGCAGGGAGCAGAACGGAATGGAGATGTGATGCTCTCCCGCTGCCTGGACCCTTACAAGGGTCTTTCCTGGGCTCCTGAGGCACAGTGAGCCCCGGGGCAGGGAAGAGTCTGGCTTGCCAATTGGGCCCTGCCCCCCATGTGGCCAGCTGTCAGAGATGCCTTCAGACACTGGGATTGATGAGCAATGGGTCAGCCCTGGCTTATGTACTAACTCTGCTCACTGTGTGGCCCCGGCAGGTCCCCTCCTCTTTGGACTCTGTCTTCTGTGTGCAGAAAGGGAATGTGTCTTGGCATGAACACCCCCAAGAGCTGTGTGGCTTGATGGGTAAGACATCGGGGCCAGTGTGGTATAGGCATGGGTTCTGGTGGTGGGGATGAGTCCTGGGGATGGGGCCCAGGAAAGCCGGGGCAGCAGAGAAGCAGGCCAGAATGTCTGAGTCCCTCACGGTGATGGCCGCCATCTGGTCTGGTTCCCTTGCTCACTCACTCATTCTGCCTCAGGAGGCAGCACACAAGCAAGGCAGGCTACATCTCTGCCTGTATGACACAGGCACCGAGTAATAAGTGACACAGGGGGCTGGTGAGATGGCTCAGTGGTCTAAAGCACCTACTTAGTACAAGCTAAGCTAAGCAAAAACACAGGGACCGCGGTTCAATCCCCCAGCACCACATGCCAGCCAGCCCCACCCCCCGGTGGGCTGAGCTGGCCACACACACATACCCACACACACCCACACATGCAATAAATAAATAAATAAATAAATATTTAAAAAAAATAAGTGACACAGGCTGTGGGGGAGGCGTGGGGCTGAGAGAATGCAGGGTGCTGGGGGTGGTGCTCAGGTAGCCAGCATGCTTACGAGTCTGTCCTCTCCTCAGGGTCCAGCTGAGAGCCTGACAGCCCTTCTAGCAGCAGACAGGCCAGGACGCAGGAGGGCCTAAGGGCAGGTGCCTGAGCCTGGGCCTGGCTGACCTCTCATGTGATGAGAGGGGACTGTGAAGCTTCCCTTGGGAACACACACATACACACACACAGCCCAGGTAATTTCAGAGTGCCAGGGACCAGTGCATACTCGAGGGCACTTGGCAACTCAGTGTTTTTAAGGAATTCATCCCCTCTTGTGAAGCACCCAGTCCTCCAGTGCTAGATTAGGAAGAAGCCATGCCAGGGCAGGGCAGGAAAGCGAAGGTGCCTGTACATGGCTTCTGCCCCTGTGCTAGGTGGTGAGAGAAATGGCCAGGGAGCTGTAGAGGAGCATATGGCAGCAGCAGGGTGTGCTGGTACTTGATGCTGGGAGGGTGAAGGGCCACAGAGACCTGCAGCAGCAGAGGTGAGGCAGGAGTGTGGGCCTAGCCCTGTAAGTGGAGGAATTTGGAGACCTGAAGATCTGGGGAAGTCCTGATATTACACACATACTCCAACCTCAGGAGCTAAGGGGGACTCTGAGTCTCCCATGCCTCCCTCCGAGAGCCTGGTCTGTGGCCTTGGATGGCTTTTTAGTTCCAGGCCTACTGTGAGGCTGGAAATGAAGACAGTATGACAAGGTGTAGTCTCTAGATTCTGGAGTCAAAACTTGTAATGATTTTCAACTGCTAGATAAAATCAATATTGCCATTTTTCAAATACTATCTTCAGAAGGAATTTTCTTCAAAATAGACATACATTTTTGAAAAACATGAGGCAAAAAAATGATTTGGAATTAAAGAAAGAAAGAAAAAAAACGTAGCCACAACCAGCAATTCTTTATAAACCCTAATTTGGAGTTTTGGTGGCCAACTGGGCTGTGGTGATAATTTGACAAAGTCGGAGCGCCCTCTGATGGTTTGTAGGGGGCCTTACAGCAGATGCCATTTTTAACTGTTAGGGGTCAACTTGTGAACAAATGATTTTCCTATGCAGAGGTCTTCTGCGCAAAAAATAAAGATGCAGGTTTATGACAGGGGATGAGGAAGCTGCTAATTAAGTGGGAATGAAGGACAACACAGATTTTCTAAGCTGGAGACAGGAATAGACACTTTAATAAGAGAACTTAAAGGATTTCCAAGAAAAGTTTGTTGTTATTTCCCTGGGCAACTGAGTCCTCATGACCATATTATCTCAGGAAAAAAAAAAAACGGCACAGTGAGGGCAAGGAAAGCCACGCCACGCCCCACCCCAGCATCAGCTGCGTGCTGGTGCCCTCCGCTGGCCGATCCCGTGGCTGCAGGACTGGCAGGGAATGCCACCCACGAAGACTGTAGAGTGGATGCCTGGGTGATTTGTTGCCTTCCCACTAGCGCTTATGTGGGTGCCTGGGTGATTTGTTGCCTTCCCACTAGCACACACCCTTTTTTTTAAGCAAAGCACCAGCTTGATGCAACCAGTAAGCTGAAGTTACTGGAGTTACTGAGGCAGGAAGCAGCAGGCTGAAGGAAGTTGCGTGGCAGGTTGTTAAGATATGCTCCCCACTGAATAGCTAGACCGGCAGAGGGGAGACTGCTTCCTGGGGAAGGTAAAGGAAGACAATGTCTGCGGAGGAGAGGAAGCTTTGGCATGTACCCCGAACAAAAGGGAACAAGTGGTCTTTACTCAGAGAGCGGCTTCCTATTAGGGCTCACTCCTTCAAACATTATGCCTTTCATCCCCACTCAACCACAAAATGATTTTGCTGAAGCAAATACAATGGTAGAAAAAGATTTACACTGAAAGAATCTTTAATAATAAACTGTTGCTGATCTGCCTACTTGCCCGTGATTTATAATACAATAAACATCAGGTTCTATTACGGCTCATGCTCTGAAGCCGCTGCTCTGAAAAACGGAGCACGAAAGCGGCCAGAGCCCACCACCATCACGATGAAATGAGCGTGGATAAATGTGCTAAGAGTATCTCTTTGCATCTTTTATAGCTGTGTGTATTAATCTGTAACGCTTATTAAGAAAGTCATTGCTATGCAAAGCAGCACCCAATCCCTTTCTCTGGCTTTTCAGCAGAGTGCACTGTTTAGCCAATAGGACGGGCCCTCTGGCCCTCATTCCGCATTCATCACAGCCAACATTTGCACAATGTATCTCTCAAAGGCTGCTGAAAAGAAGGCCTTAATACTCATGTAAACAACTGCAAACCAATTACTTAATGAATCAGGCCCACACATAATGAGGTGCAGACAAAGAGCTATAAATGCATTTTTGCGTCCAAGCCACTGCTTTAAAGTAAAATCCCTCAGCTGTAGTTCGGGCTTAACTAGCACATCATAATTATTGTCTCTAGGACATCAGAGGAAGCCATTTTTTTAAGGTCCAGCAGGGCTTTTTTTTTTTTTTTTTTTTTTTTTGGGGATTGAACTCAGGTCCTTGTGCTTGCCAGGGAAGCACTTAGCCTGATATTTTCACATTTCTGGCTAGCTAATCCTGCCTCTTCACATTATTTTTTTTTTTTTTTTTTTTTTTTTTGAGGTTGCTCATCAGCTCACTGACAAAACAGAGCAAAGAAGAATTTTTAAAAGTGCTAGAGCAGCGCTGCACTGTTATGTTTATTCTCAAGTACTGGGTTTCGAGACCACTTGTAAAAGCAATAAAGCACAAGGAGTGGGTGCAGTAAGTGGGATCCGTAAATGTAAGCCTAGAAGAAATACCAGCAAGGAAAGACTCCAGGCTCAACCAGCAAAGCGGCCTCTCCAGTGCCAGGGAGGGAACTCCCAGTGTTCCAACTGAGCCCAAGGCCCACGGCACAGATGGCCCACTGGAGCCACGTGCTTGATGCCCAGCCCTGTGTCACGGGGTGGGCAGCAAGTGTCTGGAACCAAGGTTCCTTGTACAGCTTTGTGTGCTTTTGTTCTTCTCTTTAAAGGGGGTGATGAGAGGCCTCATCACTTGTTAAGAAATTAATTTCATGAAGAAACAATGACAATAACCAAATACTTCTGTTTTCATTTGGAGGAGAAAAATGTTCCATTTTAGTTTGGTGAAATACATACAAGATGTGAAATTGCCAGGTTGAGAAAACATTCTGCAGAGTCCACCTGTATTTATATTTTAAAACGGCCCAGTGGACATTTACAGAGAAACATTTAGGAAGAATTTGTTTTCTTAGTGCCTTTGAAATACAATTGAAACAAATACTTCCAACCATTAAAAACTAAAGGGATATATTATTAAGCCAATTGGTAATTTTAAGTCCTAAAAACTATCTACAGAATTTGCTGTTCTTTAAAACTTCTTGTATAAGACCTAGGGCTCAAATTTATAGTATCATCATAACAATCTAATACTTCAACACTCTTCCTTACCAGTTATCTGATATTTCCATAATATGGATGAAAACTTACGCATTAAAAATAATGATTTCTCATAATTAAATGATCATTTTGGATGTTTGTCAAGTTTCTAAAAGTAAGAATTTTAGAAACCCAACTTCATTTTAATCTATTCCAGGTCCTAAAATACTTATGAAATATAAATGAAAGTAAGATTTTTTTTTTCAATTTCAATTCAATATGGTATTGTGGATCACATCATGTTAGCTAATGGGACAGTAGCCATAGCATTAGAAATGTAAAGTTCCTGTTTAAAAATTTCACTGGGGTCAAGTAGTAAATTCAATCTTAATGCATCCTTCAAAGGGACACTTTTAAAAAGTGTTATTAAGAAAGAAACTTGCTGTGCTGTTTTAAATGATATTCAGACTAAAGTAAGAGGGTAAACATTCTTTCACATGACTGCTTATACCATTTCATGAGTAATATTTTATGTTGATGATAAATCCTGCACATAATTCATTGTTTAAAAAATCTTATGAGAAACGCTACAGTTTAACAAGTATAAAAAGATAAAAATGTACTTTATAGGAAAAGCAAGAAAGTAACAGAGATAGGAAGAGTAGTGCAGCCTAAATATCTGGTAAAAAGGAATACAAAAGCTAATATCTAGTGATTGCTAATTTATATATCAGCGGCTCAGAAAGGAGAAAGGGCCACATTTCTTTCTTTCAAGGCCTGATGTTTTCTCTCTGCCCTTTTCCTGACAGCCCCCATTGTGTGGTCTCTAAGCAGCCCTACTGCAAGCAGCTGTAGGCGCTAATTTGTGGTTCACTGAGGTGTCAATTGAGTCTTAAAGCAAGGAAACAACAGCTGCAAAACAATACTTGGCTATGGGGCACACATTTTCAAAGGTAGACTAAAGTTTTGACTATGATTTTTAGATAAACAAAAACCACAAACCATAAGTCTCCATCAAGTCACACAACAAAATAACATGCAGCCAGAGCTGAATTCATTGAGGAATGACACTTTGCATCTTTGCTGCTGTTCAGAAAGGCTCTCACAACTTACCTTGACAAAGGACTTCCTTTGCACGATGAGAAACTAGCTTCCGAAGCAACTTCGTGAACTGCCTTCATCTGGAGTGCACTGCTGCCCGCGTTCAGACCTGTGACAGCGTGAAAGAGGAGGGAGAGAGCATCAGGAGCCTGCTGGGAGAGGGAGGAATGAGAGGCCTCTGGGAACATGGGAACCTGGAAGCCTAGGCCTCTACAGGAAGAGTGGTGTGGGGAAGGAAATGGAGATGAGAGTTTCCCCTATGACGTCTAAAATACACAATCACCCCAAAGAGCGCTAATCGAGCAGGGTGCATGTATACACACTCGGCCTCTCTGGTGACGCATGGTACTGGACAAGGCACACTGCTATGGGATGCGGGCAGCGATGGCTCACACAGGAATAGGCTCTGGGAACCAGCTGTCAGGAATAACCATCACTCTGGCTCAGAGCACCCACCCCACCCACTCTCTAGCCCTTCTGCCAAACCCCTACGGAGGGCAGTGATTCTCTACTGGAAAGGGCAGAAGGGCTAAGAAGGGGAGGTACGATGCCCCTTCCCTGGGCTGTCCCATACTCACAGCCTGTAGGGGTCCCATGATCGTTGGCTCTTGGGGGCCCTGTCCGTGAGGCTTCCCAGGTGGCCTCTCCTCTCTATAGTTCACACATGTACCCAGGAGAGAGGGAGAGTACAGTGCAAAGGTGCCTAGAGGTGCTAACCACAGTGACAGCCACTATCTGGAACTTTTGCATCATTTTAATTCAGGAAAATACTCAGATAGCTTGAAAGACAGAGATGGTAATTTTGAGTAGGGACTGAGGGAGTTAAATCTAGGGGTGCCTGACTATATAATTTATATAGTGTCATTGCACCTATGAGTGAACAGGTGTTATCAGTATGCTTAACAATGCTGTAACATTTGATATACATCTGAAGGGCTACAATTTAAGCCAGAGCTACCCATTTTAGGGGCCGGGGGAGATAGCTCAGTAGGGCCTGAGTTCAATCTCCAGTTCTGGAAAAAAAAAAAAAAACCAACCCAACAGAGTTACTCATCTTTTCTATCTTTCCAGTTAGGTATGAAATACGCTTAGCAAAAGCCCTCATGGAGCTGATGTCCCATGACACGTGTGCTTATTTGCACCTGCACAGTGCTGAGTAAGGCCTTATTCTTAGGACCATGTGTGTAACCGAGCAAAGGTAAATGCCTACTCAGGTACCCTGGATTCTAATTCAGTGGTTCTCACTGAAGAAGGTAATGACAGCAAGCAGCCAAGAGTCATCCAGTGTTCCTCTCATGAAAGTTACAATGACCTCCCACAGGATGTTGGCCTGCTTCTGACTCAACAGCTCGGCATGTTTTACTCTGCGGAGTGCACACCACCTCCCCCAGGGCTGGCTCTCCTCAGGCCTCTCCACCCAGGCCCTGTGCTAGGTCTTTAGCCTGCAGCACCTGCTGAACCCTCAGAACCACCAGAGAAACTGGGCTCTTCCACAACCAATCTCCTGCTAGGCATTTCCCTCCCAAGATGTGTGATTCGGATACATCCCAGGTTGATCCCTTAAATGCATCTGTCTGAAGAAGACATCCAAATGTGAGCTAGGAATTATATGGTAGTAAGAAAGCACTTTCCACCCTTAATGGGAAAACTGGGACACTGTGGCTCTATAAGAATGAAGCCACTAATTTATATTTCCATCTGTATTAATCCACATACTTTTATGAAGGGGTCAAGGTGACTAATACTTAAAAAAAGGTACAGTATAATAAAAGCAAAATGATTACAGATAATAAATGTACAATAAGAAAGTACAAGAAAACAATTATAATTCAAACATACCCTAGATCAAAGGAACTATATTTAATATTTAAGTTTAAAATTTAGCTCTCCTGAGATCTGCCATCCTTCCAAGAAAAGCACTTTAACCCTCCCAACACTTCCAGATGACCGGCTGCCATCACTCTACCCACTGATGACCAAGAAGCTGGGAGCCAAGGAAGGGGAGGAACTGGGGCCACTCCTGTGGTGGCTGAGGACAACTGACTACCCTGACAGGGCAAGCAGAGACCAGTGTTCAGGGAGTGGCTGTGTGGAGCCAGCACATGCCCCACAGGGAGGGTTCTTCCAGATGCCATGTGTTGAAGAGGAAACATGCTCAGGCACCCGCTCAGGCCTGGTGACAGCTAAGTACACTGCAAACTCCCCAAGCCCTCAAAGAGTGCCCTGTCCCAGGCCAACACAGGCTTTGAGTGCCAACCTGCCTGTTCTCACCTGAAAGCCGTGTTACCATGGCGTGTGTGCCTCGGCATCTGTCACCCATCTGATTTGGATGCTCCTGAAGGGTTGACTTCTTCAGCAACTGGTAGGCTTTTGTTTCTACAGATTAAGGAAAACACAGAATAGTGAATTTCCTGCTACCCAGAGAGGTTTCATAAATTCTTCCTGTGGGGTTAACACTATACAAATGCATGTACATTCTTTTTTTGAATTTCACTTTTTCAGAAGTTCTGCAAACAGACAAAACATAATTTAGTTGAACCCAGGTTTCAAGACTCAAAGAAGAGTTGAGCTGTAAGAGTTCATCTGCAGCAGGAAATCACAGTCATTTCCTGGGGCAGAGGTGTCATAGGCTTAGCTTCCTTCCCTTCCAGTCTCACAGGAACAAATACATTGGCAGTGCCCTAAGTGATCAGTGCCAGGGATGGCCCCACACTCTCAGGCTCTCCCACAGGGGACAAGGTTTTGGAGAGCCTGGTGAGTGGCAAGTACTGGGGCCCATGATGCAGAATGAGCTCAGGGTCCCAGCCTAGGAAGGGGACTGCAGGGATAGGGGCCTGTCTGCAGTGGGCAGAGCCCAGCCTGGCCCAGTGCCTGCTCCACTGGCACCCTGGGAAGGCTGTGGGCAAGACAGCACAGACAAACAGTACACAAGGGCCCAAGCCACACAGTTGGCCTGTCCCCAGGTCTCAAGGACACATCAATGAAATGGAGGATAAGGGGTCTGTTTGAGCAAAGAAAAAGCAACAGCATCCACGTCCACATCTTCAATGTGGCCCCACAAGGATTCTGTGGAGAACATCAGTTACCAGTTGGGTGCCTACTTTTTCTGGTCCAGCTTAAGACCCAACTTGTGAGGCCCTTGTTACTGGATTAAAACTACTGTTAGGCTGAAGAAAAAAGTACAACTCATGTTGCTCTACCAAAAATTATTCAAGTCGGGGCTGGTGAGATGGCTCAGTGGTCTAAAGCACCTACTTAGAACAAGCTTAGCAAAGCACAGGGACCACGGTTCAATCCCCCAGCACCACATGCCAGCCAGCCCCGCCCCCTGGTGGGCTAAGCTGGCCACACACACACACACACATAAATAAATAAAATTAAAAAAAAATTATTCAAGTCAAAATGAGTATTTGAAATGAATACTGTATTTGGGATATTAAATGTTGCATCACTGAAATACCTATGAGTCAGGAGCTTTTAACTCTGAAGACAGGAAGGTCCAAGGCAGTGCTTTTTTTTTTTTTTTTTTTTTGTGGAACTGGGGATTGAACTCAGGCCCTTGCACTCGCCAAGCAAGTGCTTAGTCTACTGAGCCATCTCCCCAGCCCAAGGCAGTGCTTTTAATGTCACTGATCTGTGAAATCAGTTTGGTGTGATGGAACTAGTATTTTTAAAATTTTAATGAATACCAAATATAGAACATGTAGCAGGGAAAGGACAGGTGTAACGCATGTTCTGTGCCACATGTAACATGTGTGCATGTATGTAACATGTCTGTGGCATATGTGTGCATGCCTGTATTGTGTGTGTGTGTGTGTGTGCGCGCATGCACGCATGTGCCAGTGAGCAGCAGCCAGAGTCTGAAAGTGCTTCCTCCAGGCTAGTGTGGTGATAGCTCTCAGCAGGGTCACCTGATTTGCTGGAGGGTGACCTGGGCTGGGGAGAGAGCACTGAACTTGGGATGTTTAAGTCTGCCACTAAAGGCAAAGAACAATTAGACATGACACCAACTTTTGTTTCATAAAAACTAACCAAAAGGTTTTTTTAGCTTTTAGGATAATAGCCACATGTCACTTTTACATTCAATTAAACTTACTTGGCCAAGGAAAAGACAGCAAAGACAAAAAAAAAAAAAAAAAAACCAAAACAATAAAAATGGAGCAGCTACTGGTCAACAGGAAGGAAGGAGAAACATCATGTCAGTGCCAAGGTGATTTTAGTCAGGGTGTCAAGATCAGCTTAGCTGTAAGATAGGGCTGACACTGCGATGATTTTAGCAAGTGTGCAAAGTACCAAGGTTCAGGTAGCTGCCTAACACTGTGTCCCCTGTCCTGGTCTCCTTCCCTTTCTCCTGCACAGCTAGGGTGAGTCACTGGGTTCTGCAGCAGGGCTACCTCAGTGTGCTGCTGCTGACTGGCAGGCTGGGAGGGCTGTGGGGAGGCAGCTCACTCTGGGGCCCTTCCACCCTCACCCCTCACTGGCATGGCCTCATGGGCCTGCTGCAGTCACTGAAGGCTGCCTGGAGTAAAGCAAATTTCATGTAGGATGCAGCTGCCCTAACTGTGGAAGTCAGGGCTGGCAACATAAGGCTAAGGACTACTGGGCCTGGTACCACCAGCAGTCCTGGTGCGGTGGCTTCCAGTGCTTTAGGGACAGAAGGAAGTTTAGAAGGTATAAGGATAAAATGCTGACCCTTGTAGAAAGCAACAGTAACTAGAGCACACCAGAGACATACACCCATGCCAGATGCACCAGGCCTGGAATCATCCTCCCCAGCACGGATCACACCTAAAGTTAATCAGAACTGCTGTCCTGGGAGACCATCCACATAGAGAAAACAAGATGAATGGGGCTTGATTTTAAAAAATCAGGTGCAGCTAACACCACCACCAGCTGGCACACAGAGGGTGGGTCAAGGACACATTCTGTGAACCAGCTACACGGGCTCGGTGGGGCTGTGAAAGAAGGCATCACACAGAGGTGACTCTGGCCAGGGGCTGCTGGGGTGGGCACCCTGTCTCCAAGGACAGTTGTCTCCTGGTCACAGCCTTGGCTGCTGGGTGGGAAAGTGAGCTGATCTCACCAGACTCTGGCCTTTTCTTCTGAAAATACTGAGATACTACAGGATCTAAATGGAACACATTTGCAACCTAGAAACTAGATGTCAGTGAGCAATCTTTATGTTTACTAAAAGTGGCATAAGAATACGTAGGGGACTCTGCAGCCAAAGGAGCCAAGCTGGACACGGGGAAAAGCTTTCTTGTGGAAAGAGCTGTGGCCTGGGCCTGCACCATGGGAGGCTGCAGAGCTGGCGGAGACTGAGTAGCTGTCTGCAGCAAATGGACCAGGTTTCCTACTCTCTGGCAGCAGGAGTACATGCTTTGCTAGGGGCTCTCAAACAATTCAGACACCTGCTGAAACACCTAAAAGGCTTAGCCAGGATGCCAACTTAAAGGTGTAAAAAAGGAAAACAATGGACATGATTCTGATGGCAACTCAGGCCCATGGTTTTCTGGAAGAGAAAGAGGAGGAGCAAATCAAGCAATTAAAAACTGCACTACAGTGATGCACACTTGTAATCCCACCACATGGGAGGCTGAGGCAGAAGGGTCATAAGTTTGAGGCCAGCCTATTTGAAAAAAAAATTTTTAAAAGGAGAAAAAAAAAAGAAAAGTAAAAACTACCCTGTGTTAACCTTACACACAATCACAGTATTTAAATTAATGGACCAGGAACAAATGACAAAGTTCAAGTTAGCATTTATAAAAGAGAAAGGGACAGCGTTCCTACAGTTCCAAAGGGAATTCAATGATCTGAAAGTTTGAGGACACAGTGGCCATTATTCACCATCCGGCCTGTGACTCAGAGTTCCAGGGAAATGTTTCCTTTCATTAGCAATGTTAACTTTCAGAAAATTACTGAATATGAAAACGATTACATTAAATAAATGTTTCTAAAGCATTCACTTCTTTTCAACTGGAACAGTCTCTGAGACACAGGAACAACACACATGCCAGCTAGAGCTTTCAGCTCTGGATCTCCACCAAGCACCTCTGCTATTCAAATCTGTGTCAGGATTTAGTTTAACAGTAGAGAATATTATAGCTGAAAACATGAAACAAAGCAGGGGCCCCCACCTTGTGGTGTCTGATTCCAGGAGATTAAAAGCCGCCCTGCAAGTCCACACTAATGATCCCACCAATAAACCTACTTTCCCTACAGGCACTTGGGCCGCCGCCGGGTCCCACTGTCCTGCAGTGTGTGGGACACTAGGCTCTAGCTTTCTTTTTGATATGCACTTTCTATCTAAAAATTAGAAATGGCTAGAAAAAGAGTGAAACCACACTAAACACAGGGAGGAGGGAGAAAGATGACGTTAAGAAGAGGAGAAAGAAAAAGCTTCAACTTCTTATCTTTTATTCTCTTTTATATGCAAATGTACACCTGCTAAAATACTTCTAAATCTACAAATAAAAAGAAAATATCTGATGAACAAGTGCTTTTAACAACCCATTACAAGAGCCAGATAAATGCTGGCTCCCCAGCCTCTAAGGGGTGCCTGAGGCAGAGGATCTGCCCATTGCTTTTGTAGAAATCCTCCATGAAAAAGAAGACTTGGGCTAGAGAGGGTGGGACAAAGGGAGACAAACAATACCAACACTGGAGCTGGGAAAATGACCTTGAACCCACAGAGAAAGAGAGAGTGTGCTCCTGTGTGAAGTGGGCAGAAATTTTAAAATTTAATTTGAGAAATACTTTCTGTTCACTGAGTTTCCTAGTGATGTTGCTTCCCATATATCTGCATACATGTTAAAAATGTATTTAAAAAATCTTCTACTAGATGCTGATGTGGCAAACCCAGTTAGTTATTTTCACAAAATGAAATAAAAATCTAAGATATATTTCTTAAATTAATTCCAAAGACATATTATCTATTTATCACTAGAAAACATTTGTCTTAGCAATGTGCATAAATGAAACAAGAAAATGTTAGGGCGTAGGTGCTCTGGGAATTCTGCAAAAGCACAGATAATTCATTCACCTTTAGGACTTTCTTCTTACAGGCTGTAAGCCTACATGTATGTGAGTATCACGTTTGATCTGTAATGAGAATTACTTTTCACCTCCAGATTTGCTGTGATAAACTCAACCCTGCCAGTAGCCCTGGGCCTGCAGCCCTTCCAGGTTTCTTTCCTCCGCCTGGTCCAGACAGCGAGTGTCCGAGAGGTGGGCTCCTAGTTCCCAAAAGCTGTCCAGGCTGCATCACAGAGACTTGCAGAACTGTCTAATGATGGCAGCAATGAAACAACTAAACCTGAAATAGGTGCAGGCTTGTATCTGAGCTCGGTGAACATTCCCAGGCTGAAGTGACAGTC